AGGTCTAAGATTGTGCTGACTTTTAAAATGACCTTAAAGCAGCAAGTCGTTTTCTTCAAAATCACCCACAAAACGAGTGAAAAAGAACAATTCCAGAAGGACTCATTTACTGTATTCGGTAACTTGCTTTGTGTCAACCAATTGAATTTGACAGCAGAATGCTCTATTCAGTAATACTTTCATTTTCTGTCCTAGACGTGTTTTTGAATACTTTTGAGAATCAAATCATATATTTGCATTATGTAGTAATACATCATGCTCAGATAAACAATGCAAAGCTTCAGAACATAATAGCGATGCATGCCATTAAAATAATGCGGAAAAATTTAAAAGCAAACATGCTTCGTTCGTCAGAAGTCTACGATGTCGTAGTCAGCGCGAACGTCGTTGAAACTTTCTCGACAGAACATGACTTCAGTAAAAGAATCGCATATTTCAGGGTTGCTGATGAGCACCATTGGCTCAGCGTCCAACTGCGTGTTTGGTAGCGCCAAGAGTTTGCGAAACTTTTCCGTGAAGCAGCTACAGAATTTGCTTTCACGCTCCTTCAGAGCAGTAGTACAAGACTCAGGTATTCTAAAGTATTTGTAGTTTTGACGAATGCTGACAATTTACGACTACTTACATGTTCAAGCAATGTTTGTGTTCGTTGCAAAAGCTGTTAAAACGATTTTCTGCTTCGGCTTCTGTCGTAACGGCAATCTTCGGACGACCGGAGGCATCGACCAATTCAGATATGCAGTGTTTTATTTCCGCCAAATCTTCAGGAGAACACTTGGCTGCGGCGGTCAGGTCTTCGATACTCCGCTGCACATTTGCTGCGATCTCCTCATAAATCGTTCTAAACGGTTTATTTTTCCTCGTATAACAAAACAAATTCTTAAACTCATGCAAACATCGCATGACGAAGGCATCAGTGTGGACCTGGTAAATGTTTAGCAGCATGCAATGACAGAATCTGCTGTTGCGCTGTTAATTATGGAACTGCAACATCTCCACGTCAAAATATGACAAATTAATTGCGTATCACACTCAGATAGAAAATACGTTTATTAGGTCATTAAATGAGTAAAATAAGCTAATTAATTTAAACAATCGTTAATAGCCAATCGAAGTTAAATAATCTTCTTTCACATCTTCAGATTTACACGGCGTATACTGCCTGTCCCCTCGTTTCTACGAATCTAAGGGTCCTAAGAGCAGCCACGACTCGATGGTATTATACTAGCAGGAGTGAGATTATCGAGTAAAAAGTGAATGTAAAGTTTGCAACCGTTGGAATGTCGGTCTTCACTACACTTGCATGATGGTGCCTTCCAGGCGTTCTTCTCTTCATTAAATGAACGGTTGGGGGTTGATCTCCATTTGCATTTCATCAGGCAGGAGTGCCCATTTTAAGCTCAGTGACGAGGAATATTCTGACTCCAGTTTCCCTCCCCCTTAGTTGTACTCAGTTTGTCAACATCGGTATAGAGAAAGGCCAAAGAACCATACCAGTGCTCGAATATAATATTTTATACATACCCCCAGGCATGCATCGATTTTGAGTTTGATACCCTGCCGATTGAGCAACGCAAGTTTAATACGTGTTATAAATTTTTTCCTCAAGGAACCAGGTAACTCCGGAGTCCGAAACCGACGTCTTTCGCACTATGCCAGATTCTGTTGTCCAACTTGTCTCCGTCATGAATGCCCATGAACACAAGTCGATGCTCCTTCAGCGTCCTCTATTTTGCGCTTTCTGCCTCCACCGCCGACCAAATAATTGAACCATTCCATTATCCCCACGTTTTATGACGTTGGAAGTCCAGCGGAACGCAGTTTGCATTCCTTGACGACTACCGGTTGTCTTTCAAGCAAGCCGCATGACCGACCCATCTTCTCTTGACATCCTTGAAAGCAAAAATTATGTCTTTTAATCCAGTCCTTTGTCAATGCGATAGGAGCGTGATTCCGGGGGTCGCCCTGCACATTTGGTGTTCGATCGCTCTTCGAGTGACCGTCAGTGTGTTCTCCTCAGGTTTAGTAGCAGACCAGGTTCAGCATCTCGGATTCAGCACAACAGATCATTGCGGAGAGGATGGTTGAATCGAACAGTTTTTTCTTCGCCCACATGGGCATTTCACTGTCGAACAATAAGAAGTTTGGATGGGACTAAATCTGGCTCTTGTCGCCTTCACTCTTCCACTGATTTACCGGTCGACCGGGGTCATGCGGTCAACTACCATGGTGTGCATAGCCGACTGATTCTTCCAGTATTTCGCCATTTGCGTCAATAGTGCCGAACAGGGGGGGGGGCAGTGCTCCTTTTCAAGCATTTTATCTTGGAGAGGTTAGCCTCTGAACCGATCGTGAGAGATTCTTCTTACAATGCATTAGCTGTTTTCTATCAATATTGATGACGTTGCGCCAGTTTGATTGATTGAAGGAAGAGTTTAAAGCCACGGCTAAGATCGCCGGTCAGATGACCTCTCCTTGCCGCATTCCTCGTTAGATACTGTTGTAACATAGTTCATCGAACAGCTTGACATCAGTCTGACAAATGGTGCTCAATTTGTCGATCAGGCAGTGACGTAAATATAGTTTATTCCGAGTTCATCCAAGACGTTTGGCACAGTGGTCAATTCTGACCAATCCAGCGCCTTCTTGTAGTCGCTGAAAGCAAAACAGAACGACTCATGATACTCCTTGCACTGAATGCTGCTGCTGCTGAATGACACTTATGTGGTCGATAGCAGAAATCCCGTACGACATTCAGCCTGTGCCCGAATTATGACTAGTTCGAAGTCCTTCCTGATACGGTTAAGAACGATGCGGACGAAGACTTCGTAGATTTGTGGTAGATCTGTGGCAGGAATGCAATTGTTCGATTGCTCTTGAGGTCTTTGGAGTCACACTCTTCTTCATGAAAAAAATCTTTTCTCACGTCATTAACATTTAAAGTGTCCTGCTCCGTTTCATGTGTTCCGTGAAATTTTTGGCAAGCATTGTAACCAGGACTGTTCTCACAGCTTGCAGGTATTCTTGTCTCCTGGTCTCCTGGTTTGCCTGAACATTTGCTATTTCTGAAGCTACCGATTGCCTACCCAACTTGTCCCGGCTGACTTTAGGAACAGCTTCTGTGACAATGCCTTACAAGTTCCGATTGACGCCTATTTTGCAAGAGTGCGGGTTGTTGCAAAATTCTGTGAAGAACGTGTTTATTTGATTGCAATTATTGGTTCTTTTTTCACCTCCGTTGTTCAATGCAATTGTAATTCGTTTTTGCGACGAATATTCTGTTCCACAGCTTTCAGGCATTTCTTCATTTCCGTAGCCTCCCTTTGAAGTACTCCGCTGTAACCGTCGAAGCTTCCTCACAATTTTTTCCGTATCCCTTTGCACACTGCCGAGTGCAAGTTATCCACTTGCCTTCGGTCTTCAGTTGGGCTCTTCTAGTCATTAGCTGCTTTGTCTAACGGTTGATACGTTGCATTCTCATTGCTGTCCAGCAAAGAGTTTTAACGACAGTCATAATGGTATCAACGAAATGATCATAATCCGCGTCTAGGTCCGCGCCGGTATTCATTTCAGAACAAATTAATGACAGTTTCTAGGCGAAAGCCTTCAGATCGAACCGTAGTTCTACACAACGCTGTAACATTGAACTCGTTTGACCCTCCCCTCTCTTGAGGCATCGATTGTGACGGTGGAATGTAAAAACCTGTGATTCTGTAAAGAAGATATTCTCACCTATGATCGTCACGTCCGATGTTACTCGTTTTTTATCTGTCAGTGCAGAGTCGATTTGACTCAAAACTTTCCGCTCTGGCTTCTCCATGTTCCATGTCACTTTGAAAGTTCATGGAAGACGGCGTTGATGACGTGAAGTTGGTTGTTGTTAGCAAAAGTTGTGAAGCATTGTGAGTGAAGTTTGTTGATCCGCCATCTCTGGCACGTAAGCTTCGTGACAAGCTTTTTTGAATACTAATAGCTCAGCGTCTTTTCCATGCTGTTATGAAAGTAATCATCGAGTAAAGACGGATGAAAGTAGTGGTTAATGCTGTCATTTCTGTTCGCATGTTCCTGACGAGTTAGTTAGTTCCCCCTAGTTTTCTATTTAAATCTTGATCAAAACCTCCATTGCTCAAGATGATAGCATTGAACTTCTTCAACTACAAGAAGGCCGGTACGCGGTATCAAGCTTTGATATCCTCCCAGGGAGAGTGAGAGTGCCCTACATGCATGGTTCAATCACTTCTTGCTTTTAGATCGAGAAAGCGATCTAATTTAGCATGAGATACTTTCGTGGAGAAGCAATACAAGCATCGTCAACTGAAATGTACCATCGATTTTGCTTGGAAGCGCTATCGCTACAAAAGGATAAAATACGCAGCTATTTTCCAATTTAACAGGCTGTCATCCTTCTCCACTAAATAACTTACATTAATTATTAAAATTATTTTTATGCAGAGGTCATCACTTACGCATGTGTATCTAGTTGGAAGATTGGGTTTCGTTTGATTTCCTACGCTTGTAACTAGGACACAGTCTTCGTACTTACCCATTGCCAGCCCCAAGCACAGAATCAATTATTATGTAATTGTCCGGAAGCTCTGACAGGGGTTTTATTGGCTTTAAAAGTGAAGTCGGTAGATTGAAGATTTCCGACCAGCAAGTTTCCTGCGCAGAGTTCGCCTTTTCCTTCAGTTCTGCATCTGAGGGCTGTGCGGCTGTCGACGGTGGCGGAACATCTGCATCGACACATGGATGACTAAATAAAAGCTTTTTAAGTTAAGATATCATTTATTTTGCTAACAACTCAGCAATGATAAAAAGTTAAATGACGCTTCACAAGAAAGCGATTTCGACAGACGGTAATATTGCATGATCTGCAAAGTTAAATATGACGAAGCAAACATAGTTCTCAAAAATCCTTTATCAAATCTAAACTTGGCAAGTTTGATTACATTATGCATAAACAGTTTGTTTATATTATTCATACCGCTTCAAGACCACTCTATATATACAACGGCAGTGCAAACGTTATCTGTTGTACTTGCTGTCGCATAATGTTCCCTGTAGATGGGTACAGCTCGATCATAAACGACGAAATTTATTTTAATAAAATTTATGTGCAGAAATTATAACGACCAGAAATTGTGTATTCATGCACTTTAGCATTCTTCGGCTGCCAGATGAATTCAACACATGTCATAATTTCAGACATTCATGAGGCACCGGGACAGTAGGCTTCGTAAGTTCTGCCGCGATAACCTTTAAACACCATACAGCTTCAACTGTCACCGGGTAATCGCACTGCCACCCATCGTACGCTTGGCCACATCGAAGCACGTGCGAAAAAATTTTTTGTACAAAGAAATAAATAACTAGCGAGAAAACTGTTCGCCTATCACAAAGTCAAATTCTCGCCCGCATTTTGAATGGCAGGCAATGATCAAACTCCATATCATAGGCAGGTCTACGCATGATCGTAATTTCTGTAACCGTCAGGCATTCATCACGGTTTACCCCATATCCTCAAAAGTTCACTGGTAAACTTCATCATGACTTTTCGACAAACGTGTTTAAGGGAATGGTACTTAAACTACCAACTCAGACAAAAATCATAGGTCATCGGCTGTATTTGTCACAAAACGAAGCATGTATACAAACCATTTCAATCCGATTTTGGGGAGGAGGAATGACTATTTCGTTGAGGTTTGTCAAAGGTGACGATTGCGAGACGGCGGATGGAAGACCAAGCTTGTTTGCCAGAACTAACATTAACACAACATCTGACTGCGGACATTTACTTGAAAATAATGAAATTTGTGAGTTTCATTACTTGGCTGAAGAGAGCTGGAAACTCAACCGGAGACCTCATTTCATTTATGCAGGAGTGTGCCATGTGTAAATATATCAAGCTAAGGTTTGCTGTTTGCTGGATCGTTATTTATGCTAAACATGCACTGAAACATTTTGGACTG